GGTCCTGACTTGTGAGGGGACTGGAGCTTAATGCCAGCCCATATATGGCCAATAGTTCAGCCTGCTTTACACTTCCATCACCGACAGGTTCTTCCTCCTGTCACTATGCCAGGAATGAAAGTGGTTGAAGAGCCCTAACTCTTTTCTTCCCCTGCTCGTCTTGACTCTCTCAACTCCAACATACAACCACTTAACTCCTGTCAACTCAGCCTCCTTTGTTCTACTCTTTTCCATCTCCACTGCAGCCCCAGGAGTTGAGGACTCTCATTTCTCCCTGGTCTGTTGAGAAAACTTCTTAACCAGCTTTTCCAGTCCACTCCCACTGCAGCTCACTCTCCACGCTCCTGCAATGGCTCTCTTGACCAGTTTAAGTAGATGTTGTTGTCGTTAGGTGCCATTGAGTTGGTTCCAACTCATCGTGACCCTATGTACAATAGAACAAAACAGTTCTCGGTCCCACGTCATTTGCACAATCGTTGCTAAGCTTGACCCCATCATTGCAGCCACTGTGTCAGCCCATGTCGTTGAGGTCTTCCCCTTTTTTGCTGACCCTCTCTACTTTACCAAGTATGATGTCCTTCTCCAGCAACTGGGCTCCTGATAACATGTCCAAAGTATATTCTGGTGCAGTCTGTTCTGGTTACCCAGTGCTACTCTAACAGAAATATACCACACACAGGATGGCTTGAACAAACAGGAGTTTTTTCTCTTACAATTGTGGAGGCTTTACGTCCAAGTTCAAAGTGCCAGGCTCTGGGGACTGGGTGAGAGCCCCTCAACCCTGGGCTTCAGCTCTGCTTCCTGCTCTTGGCCCACTGAAGCTGGAGGCTTTTCTTCATTCAGACAGCTGCTGGCTCTTGAGGCTGAGAAGCTCAAGGTTGACAAGTAAAAAGGCACAGTCCAATGTTACCAAACAACATGACAGGCCATTGATTCAAGTCCATTGTACATCCCAAGATTGGCAGAGCATGGCAGGCTGCTGAACAACTCGGTTACATGCAGGATTCAAGCATGCCATAAGCTAGAGACCATTCCCAAAGCTGCTTCTTACATACGGGAAGCAGACCACATCCCTAAAGCTGTCTCCCTGTGCATAAGCAGCCCCTTCTTTCTCCCATGATTGTTCTCTCCAAGGAGTGTACCCATGTTCAGCTCATATGCCTGTCTTTTGTATGGCTGGAAGCCACAGGTGTGGGTTCAATTCCAGACCTGAAGGGCAGCTAGGGCCATAGTCCCAGTGGTTCCTATCAGACCAGCAAACCTGGTCATGAGGGTGACTTCTGTGCAGCCTGATGAGCCTTCTGAAACTACAGCTTCTGACAGGGCTGAGCTCCTGACTGAAGTCCAGGCCCACACCCCATCTCGCCTACAGAGAGTCCACTTGGGACGGTAAATGCAGCCTCTGTTGTACATGCAGCCTGCCACTTCTATCAAATTCCCACTGTACCTTTGACCTGGAAACAAGCAATTGCATAGAAAAATGCAATTCTACTCACACTATTCAGCTAATCCAAGGAGCTCTGGTGGCACAGTGCCTAAGGCATTTGACTGCTAACCAGCAGATTGGTGGTTCAAACCCACTAGCCACTCTGTGGAAGGAAGACTGGGTAATCTACTTTTGTAAAGATTTACGCCTTGGAAACCCAAAGAGGTCATTATGAGTCGGAATTGATTCCATGGTAGTGAGGTTTTTTTTTTTTTTTCTTCTTCTTTATTCTGCTGGTCTAGAAATTCTAAGAAGATGAACTTGCCATTTGAAATGGCTGAGGTAGAGATTGTTGAACTACTACAGGTGTTAAGTGTGTGACTTTTGTGGTCAGCTAATCCTTAGAAAATACTCCCTGTGTTTGCCTAAGACATTTGACCACTAACCAGAAGGCTGGCAGTTCAAACCCACCAGCCACTCCTCGTAAGGATGTTTGGGCAATCTACTTCCATAGAGATACTGCCTTGGAAACCCAAGGAGGGGTTGCTATGAGTTGGATCCCACTTGACAGCAGTGAGTGAGAGTTATCCTTACAAGGCCTATACTTTGCATAACCTTGTTCCAAACCCCGGAAGCTCTGGAAAAGCCACCCAATCCCAGAAGTCTGAGCCGTACCCTTCCGCCAATCTTGATAAGCCTTTGTAAGTCAACGCTCTAGAGCACTTACTAGAGAGCTTCTTCACTGTTTCCCCATTTTTGCTGTTAATAAAACTCTTTACTGTCAAAAAGGCTCACGATTGTTCTTCCACTCTGACAAGCCTCGGACAGAACTAGATATTCCCACTGCTCTCCTGTTATTGTCAGTTGCTGTCCATCTGGCTGCGATTCCTGGTGACCATGTACAACAGAACAAAACATTGCCCAGTCCAGGGCCACCTGAACAATCGCTGGTATGTGCAAGTCCACTGCTACAGCCACTGTTCATCTGAGTGCCTTCCGACCTGGGGGCTCATCTGCCAGCAGACAGCAGAGAGGATGCTGTTGCAATCCATAACATTGTCATTGACTAATTTCAGAAGGAGATCACCAGGCCTTTCTTCCTAGCCTGTCTTAGGCTGGATGCTCCATTAATACCTGTCTACCCACCTGCAAGATAGAATGGACTATTCTAAACTTGGGAAAAAAAAAAACTATAAATCACAGGGTAACCTCAAAGAAAAATGATAAACCTTCACATCAAAATAAAAAAGACCAGCACAAATATTTAGCAAATACTAAAACAACGGCAACAAACAAAATGATAACATGATTCATAAACAAAACAAGCTCAGCACAGAAAATTATATGGAACAAAGAAATCAATATCATGAAAAAGCACATAACAACATGACAGCAACAAATTCATACTGGCAAATTCAAACAAACAAATTCAACAAACAAATGCTGGTGAGGATGTGGAGAGACTGGGATTCTCATACACTGCTGGCGGGACTGTCAAATGATACAACCACTATGGAAAACAGTATGTCGATTCCTTAAGAAGCTGGAATTAGAAATACCATTTGACCCAGCAATCCCATTGCTAGGTATATATCCTAAAGAAGTGAAAGCCAGGACACAAACAGATATATGCACACCCATGTTCATCACAGCACTGTTTACAACAGCCAAAAGATGGAAACAACCTAGGTGTCCATCAACAGAAGAATGGATAACCAAACTGTGGTACATATACACGATGGAATACTACGCAACACTAAAGAATATTGTAGGGTCTGCAAACCACCACATAATATGGATGAACTTGGAGGACGTTACACTGAGTGAAATAAGTCAATCACAGAAGGACAAATATAGCATTAGTTCATTATTGTAAAAAGTCAAGGAAAGGTTTATATATGGAAAGAAAGTTTCTTTGTTGGTTACCAGGGGTGGAAGGGGAGAGGAGAGAACACTGCAAAAAAATAAAAGAAAAATGCATTGACCCGTGTCACTTTAGTTTTGTGTGTATTTCACTGTACATAAATTGTATTTCAATAAAATGCATTAAAAAAAAAAAAAAAAAAAAAAAAAACACCGGTCCACCATGTGTGACCCTGCTGGTATTTGAAATACCAGTGGCATAGCTTCCAGTATCACAGCAACACACAAGCCACCCCAGTGACAAACTGAGAGACAAGTGGTTGAAACAATCACATATATACTCTGAATTCAACAGTTCCCCAGGACGTAACTAAGACTACGTTTGTTCCTGGGATGGACTGCAGGTAGACACTTGAGTAACTCAAGGCCAAGCCTAAACCCTTCACGGGAAGCCCAAAGTCAGAAGCCAGAGACACCAAGGATGATTGCTAAGTTCAAACAGCCACAAGCAAGCAGGCAACCAGGAGCTGGGGGAGAAGGGCTGGGCTGTCAGGGGTCAGAATAGGAGCGCCAATGGTTGGCTACACACATCATTAAAGTAAAGCGGCAGGGACAACGGGGACCGACGCCACGGAGAGAATGCACTTCCAGGTGGTGCTGTGCAAGGCCCGCTCTGACGCGCGTCTCGTGAATGTGTGGACTGGAAGGCTCCCCTGGGCCAGGGACGTCTGCCAACTGTGGGGGCCAGCAGAGGCAGCGGCCTGAAGGAAACCCACGAAAGGCTGGCTTTGGGGGGTTAGGGTGGCGAGGCAGAGGCTGCTCTTTTTCCTGTTCTGTAATATGATCACACTGCTTTACAAGGAGAGAAGGGACATTAAAAATAAAAGGTGGACAGCCAAGGACCAGACACAGCAACAACACATTCAGTTACAGTGCAGTGTAGGGTGGTTGGGTCCAGCCTCTCCTGCACTGGCCCAGCTAGTGGGCCATGAGCCATCAGCAGACCTGCCATCAGAATAGGTCTGTCCCTGGGCTGCGGGTTTCTAGGCCACTGCTTCGGTCCTAAGGAGCCTGGTGGCACAGTGCCTAAGGCATTGGACTGCTAACCAGAAGGTTCCACAGAAGGAAGAAGGGGCAATCCACTTCCGTTAAGATTTACCACCTCGGAAACCCAAAGGGGTTTGCTGTGAGTTGGGATCGACTCAGTGGCAGGGAGCTTCCAGTTGAACTCGAGGGGATCCTGCTGACAGTGAGCGAGGCTGATGCTCCTCGGAAGGAGGGGCCCCTTCTTCGTTCACAGGCACAGACTGGCAGCCAAGTCGGGAACCTGCCACCTTCCTCTAAGTCCCACAAAGGCACTGATGAGACATTGACCCTTTTCCTGGTGAAGTAATGAGCCTGGCTTCATTTTGCTAAAGGAGTATTTGCCCTCTCTGATGGGGTGATGTTGTAAAGTTCCTCGCCTCAACACCATACCCTATCACTTTAGTCCCCAGGCTTCTCCCTGGAACTGGGTTGAGGGCAGAAGGGGTGTTTCAGGTCACGGTTTATAAAGAGCTAAGAGCCACATGGCAGGTGCTGGGGAGCCCCTCGTTTGACCCCCGGTCGGCCATTCCCAGGGCCCCCCTCCCCTGCCTCACTGCAGCTCTTTCACGGCAGTTCTCCTCCTTTAAGGTGCAGGAGCGTCACAGGCAGAGTGTGATTCCACAAGACTGCAACTGCCCCTGCGGGTGCTCATGCTGCTGGTCTGCTGGCCCCCTGCGGCAGCGGCAGAAGAACTGGGACTCCCCAGGGAACACCGGTTACTGGAGGAGGTCTGTCCTGTAGTGGGGGCTGCCGCTCCTCAGTCGGCCACAGGCTCCTCCAAGAAGACTCTCGTCTAGCAGCCCCCTGGTGCGTCTCTCTCGGGGAGAGGCCTCCACTGAGGTGATTCGGGTGCCCTGGCTTTACAAGAAGAGGACGGTGCGGAGGGGAAGGGGGAGAGCAAGTGTCCGTTCATCGGAGTCAAGTCGTGGGGCGTGAGGGCTTCAGAAATGCTGAAGTTTATGAAGAATAGGTGCTGCCCCGGAGACTGTGAGAAGGACGGAGCAGGCCACCAGGCCGTCCCTGTCCTGAGGCCTAACTCTTTTGAAATAACATTCATGGGGTACCTTCCTGTGCACGTGGGATCTCTTCTACAAGTCTAGATGAGTGGGGGCTAACACTCACAAAGCTGTTTGAAGAAACTGCTAAGTTGCTTTTCTTCCCCAACACAAGTGTCCTGTTAGTAAATGGCACCAGTGTTATCTTGGAGTATGAGGAAAAGAATTTCTGAACTGAACCAAATTCTATTTTCCTTACGTGTTTTGTTGGGCAGCTAAGTGGACCTAGTGTGTGATGAAGGAGATGGAAAGGATTAAGATCTACAAAGGATTCCTGTTTTCTCACCGGACTCCTTCACACCACATATCTGTACAGTCACCTCTCCTGAGGACACAAGTTAGAAAACACGGCCTGTTCACTTCATCAGAATTACAATCCTGTGTGCTCATCTGGCTTTAATGATTCGTATTTCTGGCTGTAGCTATTCTGCTTAATTATCATTGAACACCGTTCCTTTCTGGCTTCTGCCAATCTTTTCATGTTAGAATGTCAAACACTGATGTCATGAACTAAAATATCAATTCAACAGAGGGAGGAAGAGCAAACATACCCCCACATAATTTTACCGCTTGTAAAGTTGGGACATTCTGTAAGAGTTTTGAAATATGATATGTGAATGTTTGTTCTCAGGGACCATTAACATTGCCAAGTAATTGAGATTAAATGCAAGTTTTTGTGACTTTGCTAAGATTTTAATATTTGACCCTTACAGGCAATGCCAAACCAATTTTTTTACGTATCTTTTCTTTCCAACTGTGCAGTAAACCATCCCATGAGCAACTGACAGGTCTCATGCAACTGATGTTTCATGCATAAGCTGTAATGCAATTCAAATAAACTGTCGTGGATTTGGGTTGAGGCTTTGAGGAAGATGATGATACTGATGATGACCTTTGTATTTGAAGGGAAATTGCAGTCAGCTTCCTGTCAAGACAAATATCTGACACATACCAGATATTCACAACCTACCCACATGGTTAAGTCCTGCCTCATTACCCACTTTTCTTTAACCTTTGCCATTTCTCTCTTATGCTAGCCAAGATGTGAACTGTAGGGAACACAGATAAGAACACTAAATCACCTGTAATCTCTTCATCTCAGTGGAGTTTGGTTTTGTTGCAATAATTCCACATTGTTTTCTTTGCAGAGATACACCCATTTGGATTCATTCCTCTGAGGCTAAAGTACTTTTCTCAGGCAAGGAGAGATTTACACAGGAAAGGAAATCTACTGTGTTGGTTACCAGGGATGGGAGGAGAGGGGAAGGGAGGGAAAATAGATAGTTAAGAGACAGGTTTGATATGGGTGAAGGGAAAAGCACTATTACGAATGCACGTGACTAGCACCATATCACTAATGAAGACACGAGAAGTACTCAAGAGGTACAGGAAATAAAGGCAAATACTATTGCAGACACAATACTGCAGTCGCAGTAACAGCAAACACTACTCTACAGGTGGATACACAAGTAGATAGGAAAGAAAATCAGGTATGGATAGGCGAGTGGGAATATACCCACGACCCTACATAGGTTGGGCAGATGATATTCTCCATACATGTTGTATGTGCTATAAAAAATGCTCATATATGGTTTAAATCCAACAGGAGGCACAGTTAAGATAACTTCTTAGCCACAACTAAGCACCCCGAGGAAGTCGTTGGCCTGCAGATTGGGGCCCATTTTTGCAGGGGACATCAAGCTCAATTGGCATAATGTGGTATACAAAAATCTTGTTCTATATCTCAATTTGGTGAGTAGCGACTGGAGTCTTAAAAGCTTGTGGGCAGCCATTTAAGATGCAACTATCAGTCTCTTCTAGTCTGGAGCGAAAAAGAGTGAAGAAAATAAAAGATTTTCAAAGACTGCATGGAAACGGTCCAAAGGACTAATGGACTGCAAGAACCTCAGCCTAAATGACCCTGAGACCATAAGAACTAGATGGTGCCTGGCTACCAATGCCAACCCCTTGAAAAGGGATCAAAATTGGACATCCTGGATAGAGTGGGAGAACAAAACTCACCATCATAAAAGACCAGGCTTACTGGTCTGATAGAGACTGATGAAACTCCCAAGACAATGGCCCCAAGTCACTCTTTGGGCCTGGAATTGAACTCACTCCCATGGCTTAACTCTCATACAAACAATGGACAGGCCTATGAGCTGAACACCACAGAGATGGTCTCCTTAGAACAATCAACCACGGGAGATCAGAAGGGCAGTATCTGCACAGGGAGAAAAGTAGGGACACAGGAATGCACTGGCAAGAAGGACACAGGGAAAAGGTGACCACAGGAAGGAAATGGGAGGAGAGCTGTTACACTGCAGGGCATGTAACCAGTGTCACGAAACAAAATGTGTGAACTGTTGAATGGTAAACTTGCACCCAAATCACAATAAAGTCACAAATAAATAAATAAATAATGGAGTTCTTTTCTCAATGAAACGTTAACCCAGCCCCTTGTAATCAAGAAGTGGGAATGTGCAGTTTTCCTGATGTAACCTGATCACTCTGACACGGAAGTTCTAGAATGGGGACTTGAGGGAGAGCAACAGAGATTTCAATACTGACACAAAATGATTACAAACAAGGCAACATTTGGTATTTTAATGAAGCGTTTAGGCACTTTGTTTAACAGGACACCACGGGTTCCCTACTGTCTACCTGTAGGCTGGACCCAGAGAAGAGGGCCACTGTGCCTTAGACAGGGCTAAGTTCTCCTTCCTGGACTCCTGGGTGAGCGGCTCTGTCGCACACAGAGGGTAACTGTCATCAGCTGGGACGTGAGGAATAAAACAAGGTATGACAACTGAGCAATACTATTTCACTGGGTGATTCTTTTTATTTCCCTCCCAGATTCAAAAAGGATTTGAGGCTGTACTGCTTACTTTTTCCAGAAATTAGATACTTACAAATCTACATGTTGTTGCTAGGTGCCATCAAGTCAGCTCTGACCCACAGTGACCATATGCACAGAAGCACAAAATACTCCCCTGTCCTGCACCACCCCACAATCGCTGACCTACTCGAGCCCATCGTGCAGCCACTGTGTCAACCTGTATCATTGAGGGACCCCCCTTTTTTGCTGACCCTCTACTTTACCAGACTTTGCCTCACCTACTTTGGTCATGTTGGCAGAGGGGTCCACTCCCTGGAGAAGGACATCGTGCTTGGTAAAATGGAGGGTCAACGAAAGAGGAGAAGGCCTTCTATAAGATGGATTGACACAGTGGCTACAACAACGGGTTCAGGTATAGCAAAGATCGTGGAGTTGGCACAGGACCGGGCAGTGTTTCATTCTGCTGTGCATGGGGTTGCTATGGGTTGCTATGAGTCAAAGACTATTCAACAGCACCTAACAACAACCTACTACTACTACCTTACCAAGCACGATATCTTTCTGTAGGGACTAGTCCCTTCTGACAACTCTGAGGGAGAAAGATGAGGCAGTCTGCTTCTGTAAAGATTTATAGCCTTGAAAACAATCAACGTCATCTACCACATAAATAAAACAAAGGAAAAGAACCACATGATCATATCAATCGATGCAGAAAAGGCATCTGATAAAATCTAACCCAGTCCTAGGAGCTCTGGTGGCGGAGTGCCTAATGCACTTGACTGCTAACCAGAGTTCAAATCCACCATCCACTCCTCAGAAGGAAGATTGGCAATCTACCTCCATAGTGATACTGCCTCATAAACCCAAGGAGGGGTTGCTATGACTCAGATCTGACTTGATGGCAGTGAGTTTGGCTTTTGGTTTAATACCCATTCCTGATATAAACTCTCAGCAAAATAGCAATAGAAGGGACATTCCTCAACATAATAAAGGGCATATATACAAAACCGAAGGAGCTTTGGTGGGGTAGTGCCTAAGGCATTTGACTGCTAACCAGAAGGGTGGTGGTTCAAACCCACCAGCCACTCCTAGGAAGGAAGGTTTGGCAATCTACCTCCATAGAGATACTGCCTCGGAAACCCAAGGAGAGGTTGCTATGAGTCAGATCTGACTTGATGGCAGTGAGTTTGGCTTTTGGTTTAATACCCATTCCTGATATAAACTCTCAGCAAAACAGGAATAGAAGGGACATTCCTCAACATAATAAAGGGCATATATGCAAAACCAAAGGAGCTCTGGTGGCATAGTGCCTAAGGCACTTGACTGTTAACCAGAAGGTTGGCAGCCACCAGCCACTCCTCGGAAGGAAGGTTGGGCAATCTATTTCTGTAGTGATATTGCCTCGGAAACCCACGGAGGGGTCGCTATGAGTCGGGTCCAACTCAAAGGCAAAGAGCGAAGAGAGCAGTTACCCATTACACACAAAAAACTGAAACGTTTTTAAAAACAAATATGAAAAGATAAAGAAATAGTTGAGACCGAATTTCACTTTAAACCCATCAGATCAGTAAAAAGTAAAGTGTTGGCAGGATGTAGAGAGGCAGGAACTTTCCCACACTGCAGATGCAGAGTTAACTGAGGAAGGTGTGTTGGAGGACAACCTGACAAGACTAATTGGTGTGGAAAGTGCACCTCACCTACGACCCAACGAGGAGCCCTGCTGGTGCGGTGGTTAAGTGCTTGGCTGTGAACCAAAAGGTCAGTGGTTCAAATCCACGAGGATTTCTCCACAGGAGAAAGATGTGGCTGTCTGCTTCCATAAAGATGACAGTCTTGGAAACCCTATGGGGCAGTTCTACTCTGCCCTCTAGAGGCGCTGTGAGTCAGAATCAACTTAAAGCAG